CTGCCCCTGCCCCTGCCCCTGCCCCTGCCCCTGCCCCTGCCCCTGCCCCTGGCCAGCCCAGCCCCGGATCCATCCCCGGCGCCGGGATCGCGGTTGTTTTTCCCCAGCCGGAGCCACCGGGAGCAGCTTTGGGCGGATTTCCACTGAGGGGCGCTGAAGCACGTTTTAATGCAGCAAAACTGAATTAATACAAAAATAGTAAGAGACGCGATTTACCGGATGATTTTAAAAAGCGACGACAACGACCACCTCCAAAAAACCCGCAACCCCCCTCTTCTGCCTCCTCTCCCCGGCCGTGGGGGTAAAGAAGACGGGCGGAGGGGACGGGGACCGGGCAGTGCCCGCTGGCCGGACTGAGCCGTGCCCACTGGGGCAAGGCAGGGCAGTGGGGAGGCTTCGCCTTCCCTCCCCTCGCCCCTTCCTCGGGGCCGAGCCACTCCGCGCACAGCGGCCGCCCGAAGCCCCTCCAGCTGCCGGTCCCGCCTCCCAGCCTCGCCTTCCCCCTCCCCACCTCTTTTTCTCTCTCTCGGGGAGTGATCTAGTGTCTGTTGTCTTTCTTTTTCTTTTTTTTTCTTTTTTTTTTTTTTTTTTTTTTTCAGTTGTTTCCCGGGAAAAAATAAAAAAAATAGGCAGGAAAAAGCCCCAGAAGGTACCGAAAAGGAGATGATCGTAGAAGGGCCCTCCTTCCCACGAAGAGCAACGTGCTTTGAATGAGGCTTCCCAGCCTCTTCCACTCCGTCTCACACACTCTGTCACTCTGCCTGTCGCTTGTGCACACTGTTGGTATGCGACCTCGGAGGCGACTGCTCCGCCACCTCTGCCTGGGGAGCCGCTGACAGCCAGCGATTGAGCCAGCCCCCCTTCCTTTTTTTTTTTTTTTTCCTTGCTTTTGCAAACACACACGCACACCCCCAAAGCACATTTAATGCTGATCCACTCAGGCGCCATTATCGGGGGTACGTCTTCGTGGAGTGTTTTGGTTCTTTTTTTTTCCTCTTCTATTTTTTTTTTCCCTTCCCAACACTGGATGGTGCAGCGTTCCCGGGGCCTGTGGTGTTACGGCTCGATTGCGTTTTATTATTTATTTATCTATCTTCTGTCTTCTTCCTCTCATCACTCCCCCGTTTCTGCTCTCTTGAATCCCCCGGCTTCTCTCCGGGTGCCGGTGCAGAGGACCGGGGAGCAGGATCCTCCTCGCTCTCCCTCCCACTGATGTGGGACTGATCCTCACCCGCGTGTAGCATGCTGTAGCTAAAAAAGAAGAGAGGAGGGGAAGAAAAAAAGAAGCGGCTCTCTCTTTCCCTCCCTCTCGCTCGTTTCCCGCGGACTGACTTCATGGCTTCACTGTACCAGCGGTTCAGCGGGAAGATCAACACCTCCCGCTCGTTCCCCGTTCCCCCCGAAGCGAGTCACCTCCTGGGCGCCCAGAGCAGCGAGGAGGACGGCGCTGCCGGCAAGACCCCGCGTCCATTGCAACAGGAAGGCAGCCGGCCCCGCTTCCAGTACCAGTCGCGAAGTGACTGCGAGGAGGAGGATGTAAGCGCCGGTGTCGTTGGCGTGGGGTTGGGTTGGGTTTTGGGTGCCCCCCCCTCCCCGCCCCCTGTCCTGCGGGATGGCTGTGTGCCCCTCTAAGCTGGCAGCGATTTCTTGCGGTTTGTCCGCTCTTCCTGGCGGGTCTTTGCGCTCCTCTCCTTCCCCTGAAGTGCCGGGGATGGTACGGGACGGAGCCCGCTGGGAGTCGAGGGGAGCCAGGGCTCGCCCGCCCCCGCAGCTCTCCCCGCTGCCGAGCTCCTTGCGCTGCTCTCGCTCCCGTGGAGCGGGGCTGGGGGGCGCGGGGTCAGCACTTCAGCAAACGCCAAGTGCCAGCTCCGTCCGGCTGTCCCCAAGCTACGTGACAAAGCTCCCCATCTCCCTTTTATTTTTTAAAATATATATTTTTAATTTTTTATTTTATTTTTATTCCGTTTTTTACCCTTTAACACTCTCCCGGGCAGAAGTCTTCACCTTGTCCCTCCCTCCTCGCTTTCCTGTCAGTCTCCCCCTAACCTGGCAGCGGGGAAACTTTTTAACCCCTGAGCAGCCGTTTCTGGGTGTCTCTGTCCCCCTCCCCGCTGCCCCCGGGCGAGCCCCCGCGGGGAAGCCGCAAACTTCGGCCGCGCACCTTCCGCTCCGCGCTGCTTCGAGAGCAGCGACTTCAAAGGGTGCATCTGCATATCGCCTTAGTAACGAGTGACTAATCCAGGCCGCTGGCTGCCTGCTGTGTCCGATGGAGTTAAACTAGTCTGTGTCGATTGCCCCCGGTTCTTTCGGGGTGGCGAGGAGGGGGACGGGGGATTTGGAAAGCAAGAAGACTGAGGGAAAGAGGGCCAGTGATAAACCAAAACATGTGGCTCCGCATCGCTGGCTGGTGCTAGGTTTTGCAGACGGATTTGAGCGTGTTTTGCCTCTGTGGAAGCACACACAAGGGGAAGCAAATGGCTGCAGTTGGGAATAATGTTTGTGTCTGTTAAAAATACTTCTTGCCCGAGTGGGACGCGTTAGCTTTGCAGCAGGGTTTAGCTTTGGCTCTGGGAGCCTTCCCAAGCAAGGCACAGTTTCAAGCCACAGCAGCGGGTTGCTTCTCTCAGAGGAGAGAGTTGTGGATGCAATCCTCGTATTATCTTTTAAATCCCTGTCCACTCCCCCGTCCCTTCGTAAAGACATTAGTGGTCCACAGAGCAAGTGCACTTCAGTCAGCGATGGGGCCAATCGACCTAAACCTCTCCCCGAGGTGACTGAATGTTGACAGCCCCGGGGGACAGCAGTGACAGGGATCTGAATTGACTCTTGCCGGTGACCCGCTCACCAGCTGCGATCTTGGAACTGCTGCTCCTTGGCCCTGGTCAGCTGCAGGAGGACACCGGGCCCCTTTCCTGGGCACCCACCCGTGACTCTCTCCGGTGTGGCTGGGGACAGGGGGCCCTTCCCGGCGGTGTGTTGGGCTCTAGGTGTCGCTGCGAACCAGCGGAGTGCCACCTCCAGGGCTGGGCTCAGGCACATTTTCCTCATTGTTTTAATTTCGCTTTCCTGGGTTTGGAGACAGCAGATGTCTGGAGCCGCTTCTCTGGTCACCAGAAGCGCTGAGTCCGGAAGCAGAGGAAAGCCTGCACTTTAGCATGTGCGAGTGATTTCTGCTGACAGGCTCCAAAATAATATTAATGAAAATACACTTTAACTTCTAAAAGGAAAGTTTTACTCGCTTTTCTTCCCACCCCTCCTCTCCCCTCCCCGAGCTGTGTGGGTGAAGAGTACTGCTGGGCACTGCTGTCTGTGCCTGCCTAGTGTCTTCTGCACTGAAGAGCAAAAAACTGTGGGATTTGGGGCGACTTCTAAACTCACGTGGACACTTAGTGTGAATTGTTTCTAAAGGGGGCAACCTGTCTGAGAGAGTCCCCTGGCCTGGGTCGGCAGTTCACAGGTGCTCCCTTCCAGCAGAGACTGGGAAACCTGCGCTGGTGGTGTCCGGCAGAGGGTCCTTCGGGTCGGGAGGATGAAATCATGACAAGCCAGTGGAAATGGACTTTAAGTCGTGTGTTCCAGGGAGCGGGGGTCCGGCCCGAGGGGCCAGGCACCGGCAGGAGGGGGCGGGACGGCTGGAGGTGTCCGCGGTGCTGAACCGGAGCGGAGCGGGACACGGGGAGCTGTCCAAGGTGCTGAACCCCTGTCCCGGGTCAGGGGAGCTTGCGGGGTGCCGAAGCCGTGTCCCGGGTCAGGGGGAGCTGTCCGAGGTGCCGAAGCCCTGTCCCGGGTCAGGGGGAGCTGTCCGAGGTGCCGAAGCCCTCCAGACCCAAGAAGAGGAGATGTTTGCTCTCCCAAACAGTCCCAGGACCTGTGCCGAGGCCAGCTGACAGTGACCTCTTGCCCTTGTCTGTGGCGAGGTGAGCAGAGACAGAGTGGCAGCAGTCAGGCTCACTCAAGACAAGCAAATCCAGGCCTGGGCATGAGACCCTCGAGGAAAGGGGAAAAGTGAGGCAGACAGCTTGCAAAGACCACGGAAGGAATGCAAGGAGAGTGGTCTGTTTGTGCCAGGAGTACGTGCTATTGCTCATCACGGGCAAGGGCTTAAGGACACAGCATTGGAAACTCTTTCCTAAGACCACACTTCTGTTTTCTGTTTTGCACAAGTGGGACATTCATGTTGTCTTTCATCTTTTAACATCAATGTAGGAGGAAAACCCAGAATTTAAACATAAAAAACCAAAGGGTTTTCTCCCTTTCCACACTTGGAAATATCAAAACAAACCTGAGAATGAGACTGTTCTGTTCCTAACTTTGTCATGTGATTAATAATAGGGAGAGAACTGAGTGTATTTTATGGGTTACTGATGATGACTTTTCCTATTGAAATATGTGTGCTGCATTCAGTATTTTTGAAGCAACAGCACAGACCTCAATGCAGAACAAAACAGAGGGAAAGACAGGATCTTGCCTTTGAAGGTCACAGTATTGAAAGTAAGCATTCTGTCCACTGGAAATACTACTGGTGGAAAAATAATACTTGAAACCTCTATGGAGTTAAAGAGGAGGCAGTAGCTCCCTAACAAAATTCAAATCAAAATCTATAATTTTATATGGCAACTGATAACTTACAGATATTGAGACACACTTGAGAACATTGTTTTAGTAACATAAAAATATAGCAAAGTAGAGATCACAGCATTCTTTAGAATTTTAAATAGTTTTTACTATGATTCAACTCATGGCAGGTGTATGAGAAAACATATATACAGTAAACCTAACTACTGAACAAAAGCTGGATAAAGTCTTGCAAATTTTTCATGTTAATTGTTCTTCTGATGAGACAATCATGTTATTTATGGGAGGGATAATAAGGAAACTAGGCTCTGTATAAATGACCCCAGAAAAGCATTTACTGGTTGTCTCTGTGGCATTAATGATATTAAAGTTATTTCAACAGCTCTAAATAAAATTCAGATGACATATTTACCTTGTTATAGGTATATACCTTGTTGGCTTTTCACTCCATTTATTTAGATGAGGAAACATCTGTGAGAACTTTTTGTTCAGTTTAGTGTGTTGGTATAGCAGGTTATGAAAAATTTTGTAAGCGTAGTTCTCTTTTTTAAATTGATGAGGTTCCCTTTTAAATAGTAATTTTGATTGGTTTACCTTTTAGACTGATGAGATAAATGCTTTGCATATTGTACAGTGGAAGGGATTTTCTCCTACATGTTGACTTGAGAACTTTTTTCCCATAAAATAGAGCTTCTTCATCTTTTCCAGGCTTCTTTCTTGGCATCACAGTGATTAATGAGTTTAATTTTTGCAGGCAACTGCCAGGAGGTGCTGAGTAAGATGTATCATGCTGATTGTGTGTAATGCTGCTCCTTTTAATTACTGGGATGATAACAATGCATTAATCAGGTGCATAAAAAATTCAACACTTTCCTGTAACGTGGAATATTGATCCATTCTATAAGGCACTGACTGTAAAGCAATGATCACAGAAGTATTTTTAAAGTTAATTTTGTATGATAAGTTATCTGTTGAGAATATTGAATCCTCCAGTGAAGCATCATAACATTTTTTATATGAAATGCCACATGCTGCATTCTTACAGGTTCATTACTTGGCCAAAGCTCTTACTGGCTTTAATAGGAGACTTAAGCATATAAAAAAGCCAGTCCCAAAGTACAAAAGCTTTCATTCCTCTGAATATGTTTTCAGTAATTGAATTCTGAATATTTCTTTCTTCTCTGCATTTTCTTAAAACTACATTTGGCTATATACTATACTTCATTAGTTCTGCAATTGATTATTCAGACTTATTTACCTTTTGAGAAGTTTTTCATAGAAATAAAGATTATTTTGAGATGCCTCAGTAAAACTGTTTTGTGCTTGGATAAATTAAGGATTTAGCAAATCAAATAGCCTATGTTAGCAGAGTCTGAGAAAGTGAGAATCGAAGCCATCAGTGTAAAAAAAAAAAGTAATTTGGTACGTCAGACTTGCTGTTGCATGTAATTGAAAGTGTTAATTTTCAGTTCATTATTTGTCTAATGGGAAGAGATATTGCCTCCTAGAGATGTGTGTCAAGGACAGAACCCTCAGAAATGTTGAGGCCTGAGCTGCAGACAACACGCATTTCAAATGTGGGGTGTTTTTCTCCAAAAGAGGTGAACGAGTTGTTTGCATACGGGGGTTTGTGGGACTGCAGAAACCAGCAAAAACTAGTTTAAACTTTGTTGTAAGCTCTAACAAGCTGAATTGTAACCAGAAGTCTATCTATAGTTCTGTACTGCTGTGTGTATGGGCAAAACCAACTGTTTAAGTCGGTAAGAATCTCCTGTTCTGCCTCTTCTTGGTGACTTCTTGGATGCTGAACTCAGTTACCCTCCAGCCATTAAGATGCAGCAAGGGGGACTGGTTATTTCCATGGAAATAGTTAGACCCCACTGTCATTCTGTAAAATCACCTTTTGAAACAAATAAAAATTGCAGCTTATTTCCTTCAAAAGGAATAGTTATAAACCTTAT